AATTTTTTCAAATTTATTTCCTATAGGTAAGTTGGTGTTACTCTCTGTTGCGGAAACTTGAAAAATTTGGGAGAATATTTTATAGGAAATGAAGTTGTTTATGGGCTGTTGTTGACTGCAAGTTCTCAACTCCTAGGTTTGGCAAGTGGCAAGTCTTGGTGATCAAAGTTAGGATTAGCTTGAGGCTTCATATTGAATGTTGCAAGGCATCGTGAATACTTCGGATATTTGAATGCTGTCTAGATTCGTTGTGGAAACTTGAAAAGTCTGGGGACAATACTTTATAGGAAACGAAATTGTTCATAGGGTATTGGAGTCTTGTTGAGTGCAGTTCTTACCTCATAATTGGCAATGGGAAAATCTAGGTTATCAAAGCTAGGATTATTATCTGGTACAAGGTGGGTTTGATTTTCAGTGATCGTAGGAGTTACTTTCAAAAGCTGAAACTGCTCTCCAGCGATTGAACTCCATTTTAGTTACTTCATTTCACCTTCCTTCTTTAGGACATTCCAATGCTGATATGGACTCTTCAGTTGGTCAAATCTTGGGGAGTGGTTCTTCTACACCCATTTAGGTAGAATTTTTTTCCTTGACGACTCCACAACTCAACTGTCAAATGAAAATCTTACTCCAGAAATCTCACTAAGAAGAAATCAAGTCTCTTTACTAGACTAGTCTTCTGTAAGAACCTTTGCAGATCCCCCATTCCTGGAGTTGCAAGTTCTTTTTGTGATCTCTCCGTCATTGTGTCCTGTGAATAGAGATGATCGTCTGTGTCAAATCGGTTTCCTGTTTGCGTGTGGAAGAACAGTCTGGTGTAATACTACTAGGGATTATTCCGGCTCCTTTGGATCCGTAGTCATAGAAGGTTTATTGAAGGGGCTGTAAAGGAGATTAGCACTTTCTTTAGTATTGTTTTACATGTTCCAAGTGCAGTGCTAGTAGAACTGTCATTATATCCACTCCACCCTCCGGAGAAAAAGAAAGTAAATCCAACAAAATCCCATTTTCTCCTTGAAAAGGGAGGTACAAACAAAACTCTGTTTACTCGATCTTTTTGTTGGAGAGATGATAGGAGGAGAGAATAGAGAAAAAGAAAAAAAAGGGGGCATTTTCTTGCCTTTTTCTTTTCTTTTACTTGCACAGCTGGTGGGCTTAATAGCATGGATATTGAGGTACACGTATTTAACAACTCAAATTAAATAATTTTCTTTTACATAAATGCCTAAACCATCAACCTGTATCTAAATTCTTTTAATGAGAGAGTTCATCGATATAGTTTTGTAGATAAAATATAGTTGCTAACTGAGAAGAATTTAGCCTGAGATCATTTCTCAGAAGAGTGGCATCTCTCTTTGATTGGTATATTGACCACATCTGTCATCTTAACTGTGGCTTTTAATTGTCTTCAAATGTTAGTACCACTTTAGAATTGGCTTGTAATATCATTTCTTGAATTATTAGACTGAGTTTGATCAGAAGTTGAAATAAATTGTGGTTTCTGCAGAAAAACTAGAAATAATGGAACGTCTTCTTTCCTGACAATGGCAAGGTACGGCTCATTTTAGCTTCTTCATGCTATGACGACCATTGAAGGGGTTGTTGTGCTGTCACCTCTGATCAATTAAAATAAATGTTGTATATGATCATTGTGACTCAATAAAAAAACATCACTTGTTAATTTAATACATTATCTCTCCCTCTCCCCTGGCTACTTTTCCCACTTATAATATTATTACGCATGATTGTGATTCTAATCAGTCGTGGCAGGTTTTTGCATGACATGATGCTTTGACCTAGGCGTTTGGAATTTTTAGCCTCGTAAGTCTTTAAACTTTCAAAATTGTTTATTTAGTTTTTATATTTCCAAAGGTTCTAAATAGATAGTTAAAACAAAGTTTCTTTCAATTTTGTGTTGAATAACTTCTTGTTAATGATTCTATTTTGTAGTTATATAAGGATTATGTGATAAGTTAATTTTGGATATTAAATTAATGGAGTTAACAACATACCTTAAAGAAATTAGATCGAGTTTTATCTTATCATCTATAAGAGGAATCTAGTCTCTCTCTTAGATCGGTAAGACCTGCGATAATCTTTTTTTACTATCATTGTGTACGATTGTTCATTCTCTTCCATTTGTCAATTTTTTCTCTACAGAATTAACATTCAATTTTTTCTCTAAAGAATTAACATTCAAGAAACAGTACTGTACTTTTCTACTAGATTTGTGTTTCAATGGTGTCTGAACTTACTGAAGATGGAGAGATGCATGTTAAAATTGAAGGAAAAATATTTTATTTTATTTTATTTTTTTTATCACCATGTTGTTCTTCAACCTTACAAAATTTCCTATTAAATTTAGAGATATTCCCATAAATCTTTCTAGTATATGTTTTATTGTAACATTATACTGAAATACGTTGAACTTTACTTCTATGATTGAGCTACCAAAAAAAAAATTGCATTTTGTTTGTATAGGTAGTAAATATTGATTCTTTTAAGACTTTTTTAGTCATGATTTCATTTTTTCATGATCACTCTCTCGTTTGAATGTAGTCTTAGTTTGTTCATATTTCTTTCAAATCTAGAATCATATTTTTTAGACTTAGACCTTGAGGACTAAAACGGGAAAAGTTTAAGAACCAAAACGAAATATGTATAAAAATTCATGGTCGAACCCAAAAAAGGTTTTTTTTTTTCTTTGGGGTTTTAAAGTGGTCGTTTTTTTTTTTTTTGTTGGTGTGTGGCTTTATTGAGGTAGTAAGAAGGAAGTTATGATGAACTTGGCCAAAGGTTAGGCAGTCAAAAGAATAGAGCATCAATACCAAAATTGAAAGCATTGATGGAAAGAGTTTGAGAAGATTGGAGATTCTTAAAGAGTTTGTGAGGAAAGGTCAACACTTTTGGCTTTGCTAAGTTCATCAAAATGTCTTCATACTTTTTTTTTTTTTTTTTTTTTTTTTTTTTTTTTTTTTTTTTTTTTTTTTTTTTTTTTTTTGCTTAAAAAAGAGATTTTAAAACAGACCCAATGGATTAGATTCTGGAATTTGCTGACTTTGGTATAGAGTTGAGCTGGTTTGAGTTGTTCGGTTCTTCGTTTTAGATCATTTATTTGATAAACTTGTTCTTTGAATTCATCCCATTTCTTGAATAATTAGAATATTGTGGAAATTAATGAATTTCATTTTCATCCAAAATTTACCTATTTTTTCAACAATATTATGAATTACTCATGTCGGCCCAAGTCCACCGTTAACAAATATTATTCTATTTGAACTTTCTTTTATCATATTCCACACATGAAAGTTGTTACTTTTTGACCATTATTAAATATAATCCATGAATGAAAATGACATCATTAATTAAGGGTTCTTTATAAAGGTGTGTGAAAACCTTTTCCCTAGTACAAATATTTTAAAAATCTTGAGGAGAAGCCTGAAAGGAAAAGTCTAATGAGGACAATATCGGGTCGTTACAACATCTTTGCTATTAGTGGTAGGAGATGTGTTGTTTATTTGTTTGCATTTTAAACCTTTTTTATATTTTAAAAAAAATCAATTTTTGTAGGTAGGTCACCTTTATTTTGTTTCCCAAAATTTTTCTATTTCATCAAATCTGAACTTTAAATTTGGATAAGCGTTACAATTTTAACTTATATTAGACTTTCTATACATTCATCTAGACATGTAACTTAAAAATTGTCCAAAGTCGAATAATTTTCACATAAATCGAACCCTTAATAAATAAACAAACAAGATCAATCCTTGAATGAATTCTTCGAAGCGGATAAATTTCATAAAAGTTTAACGTAACGTGAAATTATAACTGATTTAATTGGATAAATATAATTTTTTAGAATAAAATTTTGAGCGTTCTGCTTCTAGAAAAGGTTTTAAAAAATTCTCTAAAAAGAAAAGAAAAAGTTAATAAAAGATTTTAAAAGAATTTGAATTTTGCATAGAGAGGCATTATGCTTGAATAATCCAAATTTTGTCAAAAAAAAAAAAAAAATGCTTAGGATCCATTTTTTTAAGTCAAATTCCATTTATACCCCTCACCCACTTTGCAAAGTTAATTTTCAATGTGTGTCATTCAGGAACATAAAATCATTCAAAAACGAAATAAATCGAAACTTTAATGCAACCCTTGTGATGACCTCCTCGCGATTTGCACGAAGAACAAGCAACAACAAGACTACTCGAAATTACAGTAATAAAGATCACTATGTCAACAAAGATCATCGCACCCAGTGCTACGCTCTAGTGATATAAATTTAAGACAATAACAACGAAGTTTCCCATGCTGCACGCCAGCGATTGCTCTAAAGGTTTTGGCAAAGAACGATGGTACTAGCATTATAACACGCGAAACGATTGCAAACGAGCTGAAAGAAACAGGTCAAAGAACAAAAGCCTCATCTCAAACTTGACTTTTATACCCGATGACTAAAGCTTCCATTTTGGTTTAATGAAATTGACCAAAATTTCTTATTCAACCAATTATTTAAATAAAAAGGGACAATTAAGTAATTCAATTTGAATGAATGTTCGTAATTAATTTTAATTTCTCATAACCAATTATTAAAAACCCACAAAATAGTTTTTTCAAAGTAAGAAAGAATATATATTTTTATTTAAAAAATTATAATTGGGCATTTTATTATTAATACAATATTTACTTTTAAAAAAATATTTGTAATAATAAAGATGAGTGTAACAATAGGGTCATTTTCGGAATTTCACAAAACAAACCGAATTTTGTACGAAACATACAAAATTAATCAATAAACCAAAATAAAATCAAATACCGTTAAATCCGTTGAGGGCAAAGCGTGGCGTATCAAACGGCCTCGTTCTTCGTTGTTCTTTTGTTTTGGCATTCAAAAATCTGAAAGAATTTCCATTAATTATTCATCTTTTTCAGACAAAATAATAATAATTAATTAAAAATCTCCATTTTTTTTGCCCCAATTTTCCATTTAATCGATTTTGCGATGCCCCATCAATCTACTTTGTTTCTGATTCTCTCGATGTACTTTCCAATTCTTTCCTCTATAAATTGCTGTCCACAAAACCCACCACGCTCCCTCCTTTTCTTCCACCAATTCATTTCATCACTATTGTCTCTCTGTTCTCTCTGTTTCTTTTGTTTTCGGTATTAGTTTTGACTTCCGTCGATGTTTTTGCTTTGTTTCTTCTGATTATCATTGTTTTCTTTACGATTCTTTGCAATTCTTCATCTGGGTCGGATTCTCCGGGCTGTTTTATCGCCTAAATTTGCAGAAACTGATCGAAGATTATCAAATTTTGCAGTTTTCACCTCTCTGGTTCGTGGGCTGCCTCGAACAGTTCGTAGTTTATCGAGATTTGATCTTCCAGCTCCCAATTATTTTACTTAGCGTTTGAATTCTGTAGTTGATTCTTATATATATATATATATGTACTCATTGATTTTCTTCTTCTTCTCATCTTCATCAAGTTATTTGAACAAATTTCTTGGTCTGGTTTTTATGCCTTCTATGTGTTTGTGAAAAGTCCCCAGTGGTTTTAGACTTCCTTTGTTTTCTTTTTTCCTCTTTACTTTCAAGCTATCTGTCCATAAGTATTGAAACATGGATTTAGTAAATGCGGGCGAGGCCAGTGATGCCCCGGCGGGTAAGAACTCCGGTAATCAAGTGGCGGACATTGTTTCCGGTAAGTCTAGTAATCCCGGAGAGAAGGATCTGGGTTCAAAATTGGAGACAGGAAGCAAAAGCAGCAAGGATATGGTTTTTCGAGCGGATAAGATTGATTTCAAGAATTGGGATATTCAGCTGGACAAGCACTTGAGCAGGGCTTGGTCGAGGGACAGGGAAGTGCCAGACAAAAAGGAAGAATGGGAGATTGACTTGTCTAAACTTGATATCAGATACGTCAAAGCTCATGGAACTTTTGGTACCATTTACAGAGGAAATTATGATGGCAATGATGTTGCAGGTAATTTCAGCCTCTTTTTAGTGTATTTTTCGCTGTGTAGATGAACATTAGATATGAACAGCTCTCAATTGATGAAGAGGGTCTATCGTTGTTCGATTTAGTTGTGAATGATGCCTTTTTCTTCTTCCCCTCCTCTTGTTTGCATGTACCTATTAGCCCAATCATCCATGCAGGTTGTATTATATTCACATATGCAACGAGTATAACGGCTCAAGCCCACCGCTAGAAGTTATTGTCTCTTTGGACATTCCCTTTTAGGCTTCCTCTCAAGGTTTTTAAAATCTCTATGCTAGAAAGAGGTTTCCACACGCTTATAAAGAATGTTTTGTTCTCCTCCCCAACCAATGTGAGATTTCACAATCCGCCCCCTCCAGAGCCTAGTGTTCTTGCTGACACTCGTTCTCTTCTCCAATCAATTGGGACCCCCCAAATCTACCCCCTTCGGAGCTCAGTGTCCTTGCTGGCACACTGCCTCGTGTCTACCCCTTTCGAAGCTTAGCCTTAACGTTGGCACATCGCCTAGTGTATGACTTTGATATCATTTGTAACAGTCCAAGCCTACTACTAGCATATATATTATTTTCTTTGAACTTTTCTTTTCAGAGCTAGGAAAAGGTTTCCACACCCGTCTAAATAATGCTTAGTTCTCCTCCCCAACCGATACGGTAGCTAGTTTAGATTCTAGTTTACCTTAAATCTGATCAAGATACAATAGAATTGATAACAATTTGGAAGTAATTTCAGCTCCACGCATAAAAGACTATAGCAAGAGTTCTTGCTTTCTATATAGCTTTTATGGTGATATTCTGAATATTGCAGTGAAAGTGCTTGATTGGGGGGAGGACGGTGTCTCCTCAGTCGCTGAAATTGCTGCTCTTCGTACATCTTTTCGCCAGGAAGTTGCTGTTTGGCATAAGCTTGACCATCCCAATGTTGCAAAGGTACGACTTCTGAAGACGTTTACATGCAGATTATGGTATTATACTATGTCAAACAAATCAAACCATTCATTCTTATTGTGATGCTGTTCTCTACTTTTTCATTAAACAGCTTAGAGATTATGCTAACAGAGATGGATGTGATTCTTTATGATTGATTCTTACACTATTCTAAATGTTTAGATGCTTCAAAGTATAAGTTTCATTTTTCATGATTCGATCTCTAACTTAACGTTCAGAATAAGAATCCATTCAAGTGGCTCTTGCTGAAAATTTCCCATTTTTTTTTTCTTTTTTCGTTCTTTGGAACTCTTGTGTTATTAACTTTATGTAACAGTTCAAGCCCACTGTAGCGGATTTTGTCTTTTTTGGGATTTTCCTTTCGAACTTTCCCTCAAAGTTTTAAAACCCGTCTATTGGAGAGGGGTTTTCACACCCTTATAAAAAATGTTTTGTTCCCCTCTCCGATCGACGTAGAATCTCACAATCCACCTCCTTCAGGCTCAGCGTCCTCGCTGGCACATCGCATGGTGTCCACCCCTCTTCGAGGTATAGTCTCCTCGCTGGCATATCGCCTGATGGCTGACTTTGATACCATTTGTAACTGCCCAAGCCACCACTATCAGATATTATCCTCTTTGGATTTTCTCTCTTGAGCTTCCCCTTAAGGTTTTAAAACACGTCTACTAGAGAGAAGTTTTCACTTTATTTATTCACGGTGCTTGATATGTGAAGATCAAATAATAACATAACGTTTCTCATGCAGTTTTTTGGAGCATCAATGGGGACGTACAACCTTAAAATCCCTTCCCAAAACTCATCAAGTGATGGTAACCAATCTTTTCCTTCAAGGGCTTGCTGCGTTGTTGTTGAGTATCTTCCAGGAGGAACACTAAAGGGATTTTTAATAAAAAATAGGAAAAAGAAACTTGCACTTAAGGTTGTAATTCAACTTGTTTTGGATCTTTCTAGAGGGTAAGTAAACATTTACAAATCATTCCAATATGCCAATGTTTTGGATTTGAGTTTTGAGGCTATTGCATATTTTGATCTTGCAGTTTGAGCTATCTACACTCCAAAAAGATTGTACACCGTGATATCAAAACAGAAAATGTGCTGCTAGATGCTCAGAGGACTCTGAAAATCGTTGATTTTGGCGTCGCCCGAGTCGAAGCACAGAATCCAAGGGATATGACTGGAGAGACTGGCACCCTCGGTTACATGGCCCCAGAGGTTTCTTAGTCATAGAATGCTTGACCTTAACGGATCCAATTCTCATTTCAATTGTAATTTTGACAAAATTTCTTCTACAGGTCCTTGATGGCAAGCCTTATAATCGTAAATGTGATGTGTATAGTTTTGGTATATGTTTGTGGGAAACATATTGTTGCGATATGCCTTACCCAGATCTCAGTTTTGCTGAAGTCTCATCTGCAGTTGTGCAGCAGGTATGTTGATTCCTTCTAAAGGTTGACTTTTCATTCTTCACACTAAAAATATAAACACTCTTTGCAACAGAATTTACGACCAGAAATCCCTCGATGTTGCCCGAGTTCCTTAGCAAATATCATGAGAAGGTGTTGGGATGCAAATCCAGAAAGGCGACCTGACATGGATGAGGTTGTAAAATTGTTGGAAGCCATTGATACAAGTAAGGGAGGTGGCATGATACCTGAAGACCAGGCATCTCGTTGTTTCTGCTTCGGCAAGCCTCGTGGTCCTTAGTTTCTCGACGTCATTCACTATGCCTGCCATTTACTTGCAGATGAAGATGATTGGGACTGGGAGAAGGCATTGGCAAACAGATGATCCATTGTATAAGAATTCATTGATTCACAGAATACAATTCTCAAGGTTTTATAGTCTGAACTTGAATCAAATACTGAATAATGAAATGTGAACCTGTAATTATATTTTGTTTGTTGCATGGATTTGCATTCATATGAATGCTTTGTTAGAACAGCTGATTGCATGGATTTGCATTCCCTCAACATTCTCTTTTCTTTCTCCACATAGCCTTTCCCCCTGCTTGCTCGACCGGGCTCTCTTTTCCTCTTTTCCTTCTGGGAGAAGGAAATATTATTCTTCTCCTCCCGAGTTTGCACGGTTAGCAGCTGCTCTCCATATTCTAATGCAGCTCTTGTTTTCTGTCTCTCTTCATACGATTCTTCAGTGTCTCTGTTTTCCCGAGTCTTCCTACCAGTAGACCGTGACCAATCTTGCTTCTCATTCTCTTCTGGGGGTGGCACCCTAAGATTCCATATCGATTGGAGAGTAGAATGAAGCACTCTTTATACGGGTGTAGAAATCTCTCCCTAGTAGATACGTTTTAAAACCGTGAGGCTAATGGCAATACGTAACAAGTTAAAGTGGACAATATCTACTAGCGATGGGCTTGGGCTGTTGTTATAGGCACCTACAAGATTGATGGACCGCCTTTGTAGCCGTGGCGTTTCAGTGTATCAAAGTCCACAGCAATGCTCTTCCGCTTTCCAGATTTGCCTGTAAACACGTAATAACATCAACAGAGAAATGATGAAGCAAATTGCCTTCTTTATCATATTTAGAATACAGAGATGTTGCAAATACTACACCGCATTGAACTACATTTAATTGGTTGTTTTCTTTTGTTCACATCCAAGCCACTAGCCCCTCCATGTTCATAAGACTTGAAGATTGAGAATATTTACCAGCCTTACAGGAAAGTCAAAAGGCCACAGATACATTTAAAATCCCAACTCTTCCCATATTAGTCAAAAGGCCACACAAAAGTCTTCTTTCTATTTGAAGAGAGTTTCTTCTATATTAGTAAATAAACCAAAACAAGTTATGCATTTGTATATTCGTTTAAGCGAGCTTAATCCGATCAATTCAACATAAATGAACTCGGGAAAACTTAACATACTCATAGCTGTAAGACATAACCAATGACTTCCATCTTATATTCTATCAAGCCAACAGTTGAGTATATACTCAGACCAACAGCTACGATATGCTTTTCAAACAAAATGTAGCATGTAGGGAAGACCCTAGTATCAGTGCATGGATTACTTTTTACATTACTTTCTGACATAATACGATTTGCTTTATTTACTGAAAACGCAAAACAGAGAGACAAACGATTAAATGGATTCCAAGAAGCTTTAAGATTAAAATGTCAAATTGAGGAGTACTAGAAATATTCCCAGGAAAGCAATTATAACCTCCAGTGTCTTTTTCTTTAGAGGACCAACCAGCTTTAACTCGAAAGTTTGCTTTTATTCTCGCCACTATCCTCATCAGCGTCTGAATCCGACTGTGATAAAGACGACTCTATAGATGACGACTTGTCCTCTTCATCACTCCATTTCATAGCCTTTTTCATCACAAAGCAACTCCAATCTGAAGCAAATTAACCAACAAAGACCTTTAAAATCAATCAACCAGAATCCAAAGAGGAAAAAAATGACAAACTCCCCTCTATCACAACAACAGATAAGAAAAAACGGGAGAAAATTCATCAATTCATCACAAATCAGACACACAATTGAAGGTCTACGTATCAACTCAACTCCATATCAAACAACGCAATGATTTCCTTGCTCAAACAACGTCAGAACTTGCCAAAATCGAGTACATTCCTAAAATTGAAACGCAAAATCCAGGAAATAGTATGAGTAGCAGAGAAGTAAGGATTGGAGAAAGAGAGAGCATTACCGAGCAAAAATCAGAAGCACGAAGCTGGCGAGTGTGCTTTGATCGGGAGATCGGGCTTCCAGAAATCTGGAAAATAGAAAATGAAGCTCTGCTTTTCCCGACAGGTCCAGAGGGGCTTAGGGTTTTTCATAAAAATTAAATCCAATTCCAAACATTCATGATTCATGTCAGCCAGAAATTCGCTTAAAAATATCATAAATAAATATATAGTTTTAATAATAAATCTAAAATTTAAAAAGTTTAAAAAATAATATTATCCTATGTTTTAGATTGAATTCATTAATATGATACTTTTTGTATTGGGCCTATTTCAACTAGCCTTTAACCATAAGCCCATTTTCCCTAACCTACTTTCAAAATATTTTTCAATTAATATATATATTATATACTATGTATGTATTAAGAATAGAGACGGACTAATTTTAAAATTGTGAGGCTGACGACGATACGTAATGGACTAAAATAGACAATATCTACTAACGGTGCGCTCGGGGCTGTTATAAATGGTATCAGAGTCAGACACTAGACAATGTGCTAGCGAGAACGCTAGGCCCCAAGAGGGTGGACCATGAGATCCCACATCGAATAGAGAGGGAAACACCTCTCCCTAGCATACGCGTAATGGGGGAACCTAGAAGGATAGCTCAAAGAGGACAATATTTGGATGAATACTGGTTTCGTTGCGTAACTCTGAAAGACACGTTTTAAAACCGTAAGACTGACGATGATATATAACAGGCTAAAATAAGATGTTTTCTTATAAATGTGTGAAAACATCTCTCCTAGTAAACGTGTAATGGGGGAGCCTAGAAGAAAAGGCTCAAAGAGAACCGTATCTAAATGAGTACCAATTCGGCATTGTAATTCTGAAAGACACGTTTTAAAATTGTGATGATGCTGACATTGATACATTAACCAGCTCATAAGATAGTCCAACATTTGACAACAAAATTTATAAAAAAAAAAAATAAATAAAGAAGAATATAATATTTGACTTTGACCTCACTCCTATTGGACAGGCCCACATAATTTCCCCTCTTTGTGTCTCCTCTTTGCATAAAAATAGAGAGGAAAATATGTTTGTTTTATATAAACAAAAAAGAAAAAGAAAAAGAAAAAGAAAAAGAGAGAAAATAATGTAAAAGGTAAAAGGTAAATTTGAAGAGATAAGCTTAGGGTAAAAAAGCATAGACGGGGTTACAAAAATGATAAGAGGAAGGTAAATAAATGGGCATTAAATGAAGGAGGAGGACAATACCTGTTTTGATTTGATAGGGGACATGGGTGATGATGCAGCTTTTATGACATTTAATTCACATTTAATTATTATTATTATTATTATTATCATTCCTATGGTCAATGCATTTTTTTCTATATCTAATAAAATAATTAATTAAAAAAAAAAACTTTATATTACATTTCCTCTCCAAGTGAAACCTCTCACATCAATACAATCAATACAAATATTTATAAATAATCATTAAATATAAATTATAATCATTTTTAATTAAAATTTATAATATTTACCTTTATGTGTGAATTCTGGCAGAGTTACTTGAGCCGAGGGGTAATTGCGTACATCGGCGTTCATTTACTGTGGTGAAATGGAATAAGTACGGTAACTGTACGGTCCATTGGGCCGAATGTGTAAATAAAATGAGGTCCAATAATTGAGTATAAATAATAATTAATCTGTTTTAACACGTGGCGTCTTGAAAGAGCTTTACATTACTTTTTTTCTTTTTTCTTTATTTATAAATAATATATATATATATATATGAAGTAAAGAAAGTTATTAAACCTAATATTAGTTGAAAAAGCTTGGTCAATATTTAATAACTAGTAATGAAATAAAATATTTTAAGTTTATTGAGGAAAAATAATAATAATATAAAATAAAATAATTGGAATTTGAGAGAAGAATACATGAAAAGCAACATCAAAACCAAAACCCTAAATATATCCCCATGCTTGATGGTCATGAAAGGGACGTGAGCGCAAACCCCATTCACAAACACCAAAAAAAATATATATATATATATCCGATTTTATAAATATATTTTAAGAATATAGTCGTAGTGGATGTTGGTGGGCTGATATATGACACCCGAGTAAAAAATAAATATATATCCGATTTTACAAATATAGTTTAAGAATATAGTCGTAGTGGATGTTGGTGAGCTGATATATGACACCCGAGTAAAAAATGGATGCATAAATAAATCTAGATCATATCTAGACCAGAATAGAATGATTAAAAAATATTTAAAAAAATTGAAAATTACGGAGTCGAAGGGGAGAGATGATAGGGGGTGTGAAAGTGACATTAAAGCTGAAAAGCAAAAGGGAACAAAAAGAATACAAAATTCCTACTCCCAAAATAATAGGAGGGAGAGGGAGGATGAACAACAACCTTAATTTTGTTCACTGCCTTCCTTAATCTCCCCTAAATTTTATTCTCTTTTCGGACTTCTTACTCTCACGTGCATCTAAACTCTTACATGTTTTACTCACCGCTACCAAATATTGTCATCTTTAGACTTTTATTTTATGAACTTCCCCTCACGTTTCCACACCCTTGTAATAAAAGATTTCGTTCTCCTTTCTAGGGCTCAGAGCTCTTGCTGGCACACTTTTCTCAAAGTTCTAAAACGTATTTACTAAGGAGAAGCTTTCACACCCTTATAACGAATGCTTTATTCTCCTCTCCAATCGACAAGAAATCTCACATTTTCACTTTCACTACAAACATATCTTCAATATTTGACTGTTCACGTGTCCTAACAGACTTAGATCATCTTCAAAAGTGACCTTAGTTAAAATAACATAAATTTTCTTTCTTTAATGAGTTCGACCCAAAAAAGAAAATCAATTTGTTTAATATTAAAGAATTAAGCATGCTAATTAGTTACGAAAGAGACCAGGACACAGTCTCCCACATGTAGCATGTGTATTTTTGGAATAGTCAATTAAGATCGAGCTTTAAAAGAAACCATATTATATACACATAAAAGCCCTTGAAAATCAAATTTTATATAGTTTTATTATACCCCACTTGAATACTTCAAACTATATTCTAATATGAAAAACCCCTAGAAGGAAGCATTTGTGGGGGAGTGTGAAGGGTTAAGGGTAGGGAACCCTAATTAGTGCCCTAAACAAGATCCTACATCTATGTTAACAATTTATTCTAAACAAACAACAAACTTCACTTTTACCCATATGGGTTTTCTTTTTTAATCGTTAAAAAACAACGACCCTTGAATTAGGACTCATTGCATTGGCTCGGCTCGACATCCGTCTTAAATTTGAGCCCACATGTCCTAAAGTGAATTGCAACTTACAAGACGTGGCATTGTGTTTTATTCAAAAAGTAAAAACAAAATGTTTTTGTTTTGAAGAGCTATATTTCTCTTCTCCTACGAGTAAATAAATAAATAAAAATTACTTTTTTTCGGTCACAAAACTTTAAAAATATCTATTTTTATGAACTAGGAGTAAAATAATTGGGCTCGAACCATCAATAAAAATTTAAAGTCGAAAGGTACATTTTTATTTTAAAAAAAAAATATAAATTTGACCTTGGCCAAACACGAACCTAGCACTAGTATAATTTAAAATTAAAAGTTTAAAGATAAAATAGGTAAAAATTTAAAATTTTAAAGACTAAATTTATAATTTAATACTTTTTTAAAATTTGGGTATAAAAATTAGAAAACAGGGGAAGGGAACAAACGCAGGCATTGGCTTTTTCTTTGTTATTCTTACTCTGTTGCTCTTTTCCACAGCTCCTTGGGTTTTTGACGAATGGTGGATTTACACGATACTCAGTCTTATGGGGCAGAGAATGAGCATGTTTTACACTAACCCCAGATCCTGAACGCGGGCAGCTTTTTAGAGAGAGAAGAAGGGGGAGAGAGAGAGAGGGATATGGGTTCATGATACAGTGAGTCAGATGGGTTGGGGCAATGCTGGGTTGGGCGGATACCCTTTAGATCCACAGCCCTTCACCAAGTCCCCAAATGGAGTCTCCCCTTGGATTTTGAGCACAAGAACTTTAGAGAGAGCGATTAAAAAACACTTCCCCTTCTCCCTTTATTGCCTTCAAATTCCTCATTTTACTCTGTATCCACAACTGGATTCTGTTCTTCATCTTCTTCATTTCTACTGTATTTGATTCTCGTTCTTCCCTTTCATCGTTGCTCCATTTGGGTTTCTATTTCGTATCTCCTTTCTTCGCCTCTTTTGACTCTGTTTTCCCCCCATTATTTGTGTGAGCATTGGGAAATTTTGAAGCCCCACTTGGGCGATTCCCTTTCTGGGCGGTTTTTTGGGTTATGTGTACCTGTTTGGGAGCTGGGAAAATCAGAATGCCGAGAAATAGAGATTTTCCTTGTTCACCCCTTTTCTTCTCTCTCTCTTGCTCCCTTGATAGAACAGAGGATTCCCCATTTCATTATTTGGTTTCGTTTCTTTTTACTTGATCGATCATCTTCACCATTTTTGTCTTTGATTCTTCTAGTTACTGTTGTGAATCTGGTGTCTATATGAATTTGGTGGAACAATGAGAGATGAGAACTCAAAGAAAAGCAAGGTTAGAAGAAACGCTGTGTTATGTTGTTCTTATGTGTTTGTGTTCTTCTGTTCTTTGTAAATTTCTGATATGCTGCTGCTGTTCTTGCTCAAGCTTTCATGGCCTAAAACACTGGTTAAGAAGTGGTTCAACTTGAAGAACAAATCCGATGATTTTGTATCGGATGATATCGCTTATAGAGGTGATTGATCAAATTTCTTCATGATTTGGATATCTCAATTCGTTTTCTAGTTCAGGAACAGCCTAAGAAAACTGGAATTTTCCCATTTCTTGTAGCTTGCTTGCATTATTTAGCCTATAATTTGTTGTTTATGGCCATTAATGGGGGGCTTCTGTTTGGTTGTAGCTCAACAAGAGATCTATAATTTGTTTGTTTCCTGTTGGGGACAGAGAAAAACGAAAGAAGGAAAATTATGTTCTGTTTTTCATTGTGGATGGATTTGAATGCATAGCTTTAAACATTCTTTTGTTTGTTGGTGTTTCTTTTTCAGGTGGTGATGAAGAGTGGCGGAAAAACTGTTCAAAGCGGGAGACGTGCACAGTCAAGAAAAGCAAAACAGGTCGGTTTTTTCAGACATATCTCTCCATTGCTTTCCTTTGGACCACAGACAGCAGCCTTAAAAACTCCAAAACAATGAACAAACTAACATGCTTTAATCATTCATCGTTTTCTGTTCCTCAATTATCTTCACTAATCCCTTTCAACATCTCCCAAATTACTTCCACCAGACAGATCCAACAAACGACATTCGGATCGAACTCGACGAGGCAAGATTGACCTTGATGGTACGCTGGTTACTGAAGTGCAAAACTACAGGTATGTTCTGTTCTGTTGTTTTTATTGTGTTCTTTGATTGTTATGTTGGATTTGTTGTCTCCTTAGCTTTATCTGTTCTGTCTGGACAGGGTTTTTGTTTCTACTTGGAATGTTGCTGGAAAGGCCCCTCCTAACTGTTTGAATCTTGAAGATTGGCTTCATGCTTCCCCTCCAGCTGATATCTATGTTCTTGGGTAGATACTCAAATCTAATATGCTGATATCTATGCTCTTTCTCTTGCTGCTCTTATTACGAAAGGGTTCATTAAAGGAGATTCTTAATGTTGCTTACTTCGTAGGTTTCAAGAAATTGTTCCTTTGAATGCTGGTAACGTTTTGGGGACTGAAGACAATGGCCCAGCAAAGAAATGGCTTGCTCTAATTAGGAAGACTCTCAACAGTCTTCCCGGCACTAGTGGGACGTGTTACACGCCTTCTCCTATTCCCGATCCGGTTGTGGAATTGGACGCAGATTTCGAAGGATCGACAAGGCAGAAGGCTTCGTCGTTCTTCCATCGAAGATCATTTCAATCACTGAGCCGTAGCATGAGAATGGACAATGACATATCCATGCCACAACCACGACTCGATCGACGGTTTAGTGTGTGTGATCGAGTTATGTTTGGACATCAACCGAGTGATCATCATGAGCCAAGTTACAGATGGGGTTCCTCCGATGATGAGAATGGAGATTCACCCATTGCCTCACATTATTCACCTTTCTCTTATAATGGTTTTCTTCCCATGGAGGATAGAGATAATCGACAATCCGGTCACTCGAGGTACTGTTTAGTTGCGAGCAAACAAATGGTTGGGATCTTTTTAACTGTTTGGGTGAGGAACGATCTCCGAGACGACATTCGAAACATGAAAGTATCTTGTGTTGGTAGAGGATTAATGGGTTATCTTGGGAATAAGGTAATAAGTTCTTAAGTTCTTATTCAAACTGAAGGAAGTAAACAGTAATCTAACTCTATATGGATTTGCAGGGATCAATTTCAATAAGCATGTCTTTACACCAAACAAGTTTTTGCTTCATCTGTACTCATCTAACCTCTGGCCAGAAGGAGGGAGATGAACTTCGGAGAAACTCCGACGTCATGGAGATTCTCAGAAAAACACGGTTTCCCCGAGTTCACGGCATGGGGGACGAGAACTCTCCTCAGACGATCTTAGAGCACGAGTAAGAATACCGATCATTTAGCAAACAAACTATTCTTACAATGCATGAACTTTGGCTGTTGGTTCAACGTTATTAGCTTTCTCTAAAAGTCTGTCATTGTGATTGTCCTGTCTCAGTCGAATTATTTGGCTTGGGGACTTGAACTATCGGATTGCATTGTCGTATCGATCGGCAAAGGCTCTTGTGGAGATGCAAAACTGGAAGGCATTGTTAGAGAATGATCAGGCATGCTACAAACCTTAATCCATCAAATGTCATGTTCTTACTTATAATGATGACCAGTTTATCTAAGCTTGAAACAATCTGTTTTTTCAGTTACGACTCGAGCAGAGACGGGGCCATATCTTCGAAGGATGGAATGAAGGAAAAATATACTTTCCTCCCACGTACAAGTATTCGAATAATTCCGATCGATATGCAGGAGAGATGAGGCACCCAAAGGAGAAGAGAAGAACTCCGGCTTGGTAAAACAATATTATATAAACATATCATACCATTGTTAAGAAAAAGTTGATTCTAACTTCGGTTATATATGAAGGTGCGATCGCATACTATGGTATGGAAGAGGCCTTCATCAACTGTCGTATGTACGTGGAGAATCGAGATTTTCAGATCATCGACCTGTTTACAGCATATTCTTAGCTGAAGTTGAATCTATAAACCATAGCCGAATCAAGAAAAGTATGAGCTATTCGAGTTCCCGCATCGAAGTCGAAGAGCTGTTGCCGTGTATGTATAGACATCCTGAAATGAACTTCTACTGAGGGATATTCTTGCCACTCCAAGCTTTTCTAAGCCAACAACTTGTGATCAAATCACTTACTCTACAAGAAGGTAATCAGCCAAATCCCAAGTTTATCTATATATATATATATATATATATATATAACAAACTTACCATACTTCCATTGATGCTATCATCAGGGCTCATTCATCGTTCGATCATCGTATCGACTTCCTCACCAATCCTACTAAAACTCGCCCTCTCAATTAAGGTAATCTCATTGTCTCTATATAGTTGTATGACTTCTGTGAAAATCTAGAGCAATTAGTTTTGGGAATGCTGAAGCATCTGTGTTTGTTTTCGATCTACTCGGTTCGGGTGGCCTTAGAAAACAGAACACAAAAACCAAGCATTTATTATGAAACCCACAGCTGAAAAGGTTGTCTTGTTTCAAAAACAATGTTGCAGGCTAGAACAAGAAAAAGAACAAGAAAAAGTTGGTTGTTTGACACAACCATGGCGACCTTCTGAAGGCCTGGAAGGTGAAGGAGAAGAAGGTCCATTATGAGCTTGTCACTGTGCAGGTGGTGGTGGTGGTGGTGATGGTGGTGGTGGTGGTGATGGTGGTGGTGGTGGTGGTACCTACACACTGCAAATTTTTTTCATCAGTTAAGATTCAAACTGATATGTTGGACAAAATAAGTATCATTTTTTAGGGTTTTGGGTTCAAATGTTTAGGATTGTTAATGTATTTTAGTTTTTGGTGATGATTCTTTTGAGAGATTTTTGGGAAATAAAAGCAAAACAAAAAACATAGGCAGCTTTTGAGAGATTTTAGGGTTTTGGGTTCAAATTTTGGATCGTTTAAATGACATGTCATATGTAACCGCCTAAAGTTACTGTTAGTAGCAGATATTACTTGTTTTGACCTGTTACTTATTGTCATCAGTTAACTCCCTTGGGCCCAATGTTCTTGCTAGCACACTGCTTGATGCTTGGCTCTAATGCGATTTGTAATAGCCCAAATTTACCGTTAATGGATATTATTCTCATTGGCCGCTTATGTATTGTCGTGAGCCTCACAGTTTCAAAACGTATCTATTAGGGAGAGGTTTCTTCATCCTTATAACCAAATGTTTCGTTCTTTTCTTCAACCCACGTGAGATCTTACATCATATTATTATTACTTTTCAAATCGAGTTAAAATTGTTAAGCTCGGGTTTGCTGAGCTCGAATTCATCCATTCAACTTGAACCTAGATTCAATACAAATGTCTACTTTCTGTTTGATTCGCTCGATTTTGTCCTCATATAAACTTTTCAATTCTAAATATAAAGGCATAATCCAATCCAATCCAATTCAATTCGGAATGACAAACGTAAAACTTTATCCTTATTTTTTTTAATGTTTGAAATTAAAGTTCATGTCTTTATTCCACCAAATGTATTGGGATTCTGTCGGGCCCACTTAAAAAGGTTGTATAATAATTTAATTACAACCACAATTTTCAAAATAAAATATCTATTAATTAAATCACACATTATTTCTTTTCTTTTCTTTTTTAACCTTTAAAATATTTATTTTAATTTCTTCTCTTTTTAATAAAAGCAACAATTTAATTATTTTTAATCCATAAAAATTAATATTTTTTAACAGATATTTTAAAATTTAAGAGTGAAAATGAAATTGATGTTCACATGAAAAAGAATTACAAAAAATATATTAATAGTTTTTTAAAACAATAATAACTATTAACAAGTAATTAAATTTTTTTAATTACGATTTTAGAAATAGAGATAATATTTAAAAAATAAATAAATAATATTTCCTTAAAAAATGTTTGAAAAAGTCGTATTCCTCGAGATGGGTAATGTTTTCCCGGTCGGTTGACCGTTAAAAAAATCTAAAACAGACCGACCAACACCGTCAAAGAAATAATAATAATAATAATAATAATAAAATTAATTTTTAGAATAATAATTTATTTTTGCCTTTCTCTATTTTCAACGGAATATAATAAATATTGGACCAGCTAGCTTAATAAAGTTCTGATCTCTCCAAGATTTCGGATACTTTTTTTAATAATATTTTAATTATTTCCACGTCAGCATGCATCCAAATTCATCTCAAACTCAAAAAAAATGAACATTTTTTATTTATTTAAAAGAAATATAATAATATATTATAATTATTTATAATAATGTGACGGTCGAGTAAAAAATAGGTACAGGATGATAAACTAACTAAGAAAACAATTCAGTGCACTTTCGTTTTTGTTGACTCAGTCATAAGACTTAATTATGCTGAATTTTGTTTCGAGCAATTCTATGTTGGATAACTGTTGCATGGGACGTTAAGGAATGTTTTAGAAGTTTAAAACGTAATCGATTAGAGACACATAAATTTATAATATTCAACCGAAATAAGAGTCGGGTTTAAAAAAAAGAGAGGAAAAGGCAATGTTCTTTAAAAGAAGAAGCATGTGTTAAGGTTGATTTGTTGGAAAGAATTAAAGTAAAAAGTGTTATTTGGATAATGTTAATAATGATGATTACTTACAATGAACTCATCCAAACTTCGAAAAACAATTGTGATAAATCGGGAAAAATTGAAACAAAGAATAGGGATCTTTGACGAACGAGATCAAGAATTATTAATTATTTTATTATTTCGACACACGAATAAGAAAAATAAGATGAATAATTCCTTCTAGAATCCTTTGTTTTTATTTTATTTTTTATTCTCCGTTTATTTATCTTATTTTTAAGATCTTACTCGTTCCAGCTCTGTATTATTAACGTAATATTGATAAAATGGTGTGGGATTTGATTGAATAAAATAAATAATGTTATTTTTTTTATATAGTAAAAGAGGAAGAATGAAAAGAAAAGGAGCACAAATCTCAAGGGAGGATTTTGAGGTTTGTAATTAAAAAAAAAAAAAAAAAAAAAAAAAAAAAAAAAAAAAAAAAAAAAAAAAAGAGACAGGGTTTAGGATATTAGCAGTGTTCCTCAGCTTTTGTAGTGTTCTTAATAGATCTTGTCTCTCTTTCTCTCTCATTTTTTCTCTCACTAGATCCCATCTTGTTCCCTCTTACCACCTTAAACAAATTTTTCCACCAGCTTTTGGAATTTCGTTTTAAACTTTATGCTTTCTTTGTTCGTTAAAACTTGAAAAAATTTGAAAATTGGAATGAACGATTGAGTATGGTCGAGAGTGAGACTAATTTCGGGAATGATCATGAGTTTATTAGTAAAGAATACATTTTTATTAGTACGAAACCTTTTGAAAAGCTCAAAATAAAGTCATTAGAGCTTATAACTAGTGGAGTTGGGGTTAACCTCGGGTTAGGGTTAAGGTTAGCCATTTTATGCAGCAAAGAAACAAGGGGAATGGCCTGCAACAGCTCTGAAGAAGAAGAAGAAGTTCAGTTCCCAAAATTCAAACTATTTGTTTGACCCACCTTTGTCCTTTACCCTTCTTTCCTTCTTTTCTTTTGGATTCATTCTGATTTTAATTACTATAGCACTGTCTAGACGTGCATGTCGTGTAATTTAACGTGGAAGACTTCAAATCCACCACTAGTAGATATTGTTCTTTTGAACTTTTCCTCAAAGTTTTAAAATGCACCCGTAAAGAGAGGTTTCCACACTTTATCAAGAATGTTTGTTTCGTTCCCTAAACGTATATGTAAGAGGAAGTTTCCACATATTTGAATGATTCGTTCTCTTCTCCATCCGATGTGGGATCTCACATAACGAAACGTTGTCTCCCGTAAAACAACATTGATGGCTAAGTAGCTCACGAACATTGCTTGCTTAACATATTTGCTCAGCTAATTGTTCGGTAGGTAGATTTTTTTTATACCCTAGACGGAGGGGTAATAAGAAAAGTAAGTGCTTTTAAATTTTTATTGAGAACAGAGAAATTAAAATTAAATATTTAAAAATACAAAAATTAGAAGGGAATAAAATTCAAAAGGTAAAAATAAATTTTAGGAATTAATTGACTTAATTATTAGGCAATAATAAAGTGATGTACTTGTAGTGCTGCCACACAAACAATAAATAACAATGGAAAATACCATTTTGTCCAAAGCAAACACATTGGGTCAAACAAGTACCTATCAGAAGTAGGGGCTTTTATGTCAACATTTAACTAACTGAATTTACTGTTTCGTCCCATATACTTATTTCCCTTCCAATAATATCTCCGTTTTAATAGTATACTTTCAATCATAGTTAATTCATAACTTCTCGAATCTCAAACAAGCTTTCCTATCTTCTCTGATCAACAAGGTAATTTGAATCTTACTTTCCATTAAGTTGATTAGTCTCATCTTTCAATAAGGTGGTTAGACTGAGTCCCTAATTCAATCAAGTTGGGATAAAATCATGTTGGTTCGAGAGTTTTAGCAAATTTACAATTTAGCCCTTTGGTTTCCTAGTAGTATTAGGTATGATATAGGGCAAAGATACATGATAGGACCCACATATGATATGAAAAGAAAAGAAACGGTATGAGAAAAAGATGGAATTAGAGAGGGGGTTGAATATCCAATAAATAGCAATAGTCTTTTATGGTTAAGGGAGGGCAGAGCAGAACAGAGCAGAACAGAGCAGAACAGAGCAGTGCAGAGTACTAAAACTCTGTCACTGAACTGTGCTTACAGCTCCAAATGTATTAAATTTGGCAATAATGGGGATTGGTTAGGTTTGGATATGCTGAAATTCAAAGCAGCAGGCACATTTTTTGGGGAATGCATGATCATAACGTATGAATTCACTCACTACTGCAAGTTTTGTTCAGTAAAAAGAGACAAAAAGAAGGCCCATTTTAACACAGCAGAAGAGACGCACAGAAGACACTGCAATATCAATATGTATATCTATATGGAAATGAGCTGATGCTGGCTTTGGTGCTCAGCCCATTCTGACACTGTTAACGCACGCTACAAAATTACACCAATCACACTCATCATCAATGCTATTCCCTCTCTCTCTCTCTCTCTCATGCAACAACAACAGCAAAAGATCCCCACATCTTTTGCATTCAAAACCAAAACCCCATTTGATTTTTCTCTCAACTTTAAAGCTGTTGAGATCTGATGCAAATAAAGTGGTGTATAACTAAGAACAATCTGTATTATAGAAGCAAAACCATGTAGATAGCAGAAATAAGCAGTGTGGCGGTGGTGGGTAATTAATTAAGTTTAACCATGTCAAGAGGTTATCAGCATTCAGTATATCAGTGGATTTAACTTGTGAAGCAAGGGATGTCAGAAGCTGAGTAAAGAGAGAGAGAGAGAGAGAGAGAAGAAAATGAGGAGCTGTGGGGACGGACAACCAATAATGAGTCAAAACACAAAAGGGGTCTGGTTTTGGGGATAAATGACCTCACTCTAAGCGTAAACACTGCCAAGAAATCAATGGGGTTTTGTTTGTATGTCTTTGTTTGCCAGCTTAAGCATGGAGTAAAAGAGTACTAAAGCAGGGAGGTGCTTGATTTGGTTCAGTGATTCAGTCCAATCCACTCGTTATTTCATTTACAATGTTTTTCTTTTCTTTGTTTTCTTGGGATGGTGACTATGGCAAGGCAACCTTAAGATTCCAAAGTTGTATGTCACACTCCCTTTTCCTGTTTTTTTGCCCTCTGAGAGTGTTTTTTAGATTTTCGAGAAAGGAATGAACCTGACTACGACTAAACAATTCTTCTTCTACTACGTACCATATTTTTATTAATACGTGGCTGAATCTGAATATCCTCTTCATTTTTCAATGCTTTTAGTTTGAATAGCTTGATATAATCTCAAGGGACTTCCACATCAATGTG